CATCTTTGTTCTATTAAAAATGCATGCCATTTAGCATATGATAGGATTTTTCTGTTATAAACTAAGACTTGTGTTTATAATGAAGTCCATAAACTGATGACATGAGGGCCAGATTTGACCTACAGACTTTTTAAATTTTGGAGATTTTACTCGACAGTCCAAATGTTTCAGTTCTCTCAAAAATAAAACATCTGGCAGCACTAGATTTTTAATTTCTTGATAGCAACAGTTGGAAGAGTTGAGAAGTCACTGTACCCTTTAGATAGAGCATTTTATCTCTAATTTGGTAGTTCCCAGAAATATCTACTGAATGAAATCTGAATCACTGAACTCATTTTCATGACTATTCTGGCCATTGTAGGCTGTTTGCCATCCTATAGTTTATTTGTTGTCTCAGCATACCATCAGTGGCCAGTTCTCTCAAGCTTCTAACACAGTACTCTTAACAAATGACCGATATCTTACTGAGGAAATTAAGGTGAAATATCTAGAATAGGAAAATTAATAGAGACAGAAAGAACATTTGTGGTCACCAGGGGGGGTGGTGATGGTGGTGAGGAGTTATTGCTAATAGTTATGACTTTCTGTTTGGGGTGATGAAAAAATTATGAAAACAGATAGTGGTGATGGTTGTACAATGTTGTGAAGTTAATTAATGCCACTGAACTGTGCACTTAAACATGGTTAAAATGGAAAACATCACGTAATAGATATTTTACTACAATAGATAAACCATCTCTGAACAACAACAAAAGATCATTAGATGTGAATTTGCTTTTCTTCCTTTTTATGTACCTTTGTATTAAATTGTCTATCATTTTGGCTTTTTAAATTGATTTCACAGATAGCGTCGCAGACCTAATTAAAACCAGAGGCTGCTTACAGCGAAGCAGGTCCCATCCATACAAATGTCCTCCTTGCTGCTCTCATATAACCTAAAGACAGTTCCCACTATAAGGGCTGACATGGGCAGAAAAGGAAACCCATATCACAACCAGGTCCGGTTAACTCTGTAATCCTTTATTAGTTCTCTGTGCATCAGTGATAGACTACTTGAGATCAGTCAGTTCTACCCATGCTTCTTTTTTCTATTAACCATAGTTGCCAGCTAAATATAATACCATCTTTGTCTATGTCCTCTGTACTCTTAACTCCCTATCATACTGCAAATCCTTGCCTCACCTCTTCTCAACATTACCATTGGCCTATCTGTCTTGCTCCAACTTAAACATAGTTCTTTCACAAGATAAATCACAAAATTCTCAACTTGAGGCTATGTTTTATTTCATGACCCATATGGCATAGGACTCTGTTGTGGAGATGGAATTCTCCTCACATTTGTCAATGATTATTCTTTCCCTTTTGTGTAGAAGGATCTCCTCTTTTTTTTTTATTTCAGAATATTATAGGGGTACAGATGTTTAGGTTA